AGGGAGAGCGAGATAATTGTGTATAGATCTATACGGGGATTGACACCCACACCTAAGTTGTTCGCTACAGCTAGACGGGCCCAGTCTAGGGTGACAAATATGTTACTGCATCCGACACCTGAAGAACGTCATGACAGGCATAACAGTCATATCAAGCCTTGTTATAATGACTTACATAGTGATTAACAACACTATCTTGATTTAAAAATAAAAAATAAAAAATAAAAAAAATAAAAAAAACCTTACACTTCATTGGTTTTTATATATTATAAAACTAAACACCATTTCAGTACTTTGTTAACACTAATCCAGTCTTATGGTTTATGACTATTGTTTCATACAATCAACAAATATGGGAGTTTTGGGGAACATACATTCACATGATTTAAAGGAAAAGTGCATACATATATTCTTGGTTTTGGAAACAAACATACAATTCACTTTTATGGAAAATATTGGATATTCTGGAAACATACAAAATTTTTGTCAAGAAAAACATATACAAACTATTTTCATAATAAAATGCTTATGAACTCACCAATATTCTATGTTGAAGCTTTTCAAAACGACTTGTATTATAAGGAAACCAGTAAGCAGATACTCGAACCATGGATTTTGGATATTTTGCTGCATTATGAAATTTACAATTATGTCAATTTTGTGTATCATTTGAACAATGACAAATTGTAAACTTATGAAGATTATAATCTTAATGTATGTTTTTTGGTGGCTATGTCCATTTATATTCAATTGTGATTATACAATACAATGACGTCATCCGCCCCCAGACGTTTTCGCCGTCCTAGTTCGGGGGTGTAGCACATACCTCCTTCATTCTAAGTCATTTTTCGACGTTCATTATATCCACGAAAAGGTAACGAGAAGCTATACACTTTTATCAACTCATCCTCGCCTTAAGACTTCCCAGACAAAACCTAAAATTCATAAAGACTCGAATTGCAAAATCACTGATATACCCTTGGGCTCCGAAACACAATCGAACACTTGGATCACTTAATCTATAATACTCTCATCCAAGAAGAGCTAGTATCTCTTCCCCTAAGGCCTAAAGCCTTATGATAATTGATGATTCAGGTCATGGACCCGAATAATGAAGCGATTAAAATCGAGTGTTACAACTCATCCCCACAACAGTTAGACTCATATGAGAGCTGTATAGTATGGTTGAATCAATTACTTTGAGATTATTTAATCCAAGCTGCAAGTGACTTAACATACTTATCGAATAACATGCGACTCCACCCTTGAGTCCTAAATTACTAATACTGTCTCGACCTATCTTGATTCCCCTTAGTTGCTTTCCAAAAGCTGTCGAGACCTCCTTGGTCCCATCTTACCTGCCAAATAATCGATTCACCAGATTTCCACCTCGTTGCGGAGATAATTAATCTCACACAGTCGCACCATGCGACTTCCGAACAAAGGCCTCACCCGACAACAATTTCCTTAGTTATCTCGTCACTATGGCTCCAACAACCTTTCTGATTCAACTAATCATAATAAGCCGTCAAACTTGACATCACCAAATCCAATGCTAAAAGTGAATGCTACATGACCATCTGTAGTCTTATATCACAACCGGCCTCATACGGCCCACCACTTCCTTAATCCCAAAAATGATGTGTTGTTCATACGGCCTCACATCCTGATCTACCCTAGTCTAATCCCCACCTGATGAAATAGATTTGTCATACCCTCGCAGCTACTCAAGAACCGGTGAATACTACGGGCCACCCCCACAGTCTTATAACACTCCAATCTATTTGCCGCCTTAGTGAATGCTACGACCACCCCGCAGTCTTACAACACTCATATCTTTCCATGGCCAACGCCTATGGTCTAACCGCTCATACCCTCAACATTTGATTGAATCTTTCACTTGCTTTCACTTTCCAGCCATTAATGCTAGTGGAGATAGAGTGTTGGCGTAAATAGAGAAGTCATGGTCACCCTATGATTGATTGATCATTTGTTCTAACATTGGGTCATGCAGCCAATTGTTAAGTTCAAACATTTATGGATTCATTTTAAGGTTTCTTAAAAAACCCATCAAGAGAATTATTTAAACCTCCACCATCCTTTCAATCCTATAAACTTTGTAATAATCAAATAAAAATTATTTTTTCTTTATTTTAATAAAGTTAGTATGTATTATTTATAAAATTATTTTAAAATTTTAAAAATCAAATATTTAATTATCTGAAATAATATTATTATTTATTATTGTTCTTATTTATTTATTTTTATATTTCTGATTTATAATTTTTTTTTTTTTTTAATTTTGACATTGTAGACAAATATACTTCATTTAATATAGTATTATTTATTTTTACGTTTGCTACATTGACTTTATATATATATATATATATATATATATATATATATATATATATATATATATGTTCAGGTTCATTTGAAACCATGCTAATTTTGTGAGACCGTGAGACCAAATCTAAAAATAATTTTAAAATGCCAAAAAACGGAAAAATCCAAAAATTCTTTTTTTAATTATTATTTTCGGAACTTTATTTAACTAAAAAGATAAAAAAAATTACCGTTTTTTTTTTTTAAATACGTGAAATATTCTAGTAGAATATTACACTATACATATTCTAATATGATTTTTAGAATGTTAAGAATATTCTATTAGATTTACCAGATATGTAGAATATTCTATATATTTTACTAAACTATTTAAAAAATGTATATTTTTGTATTTTTTTTTTATTATTTGTTGTATTTTTTTTTTTTTGGAAAATATATATATTCTAAAATAATAATGGAAAAAAAATTCGGAAATTTTCAATTATGTTGCATTTTAAAAATGTTTTTGTTTTATCCAAGGTTGTAAAAATCACTCGACGTTAGCCAGTCGGTAGACTGGGATCAAGGGATTAATCGGCTAGACGGAGATTAATCGGGAACCATTAATTGCTCATTTGTTAGATTTTAAAAAATTAAATATGACTAATATCATATAAAAGTTCATAACTACCACTAATATCATAACAAAATAGGTTAATATGATAAATACAACAGTAATCATACCTCACATAGTTTCTATTGAGATATAACTTCTTCAAAGTGTTAAAGTTTCATCGGGCTCTACTGTTTTAGTCATTTTGTATGCATAGATTAATCATTAGGCGCTCTCTAATCGGTTAACTAACACATAAGGATTAATCGGAGATTACTCGGGACCTAATCAAGATTTTTACAACACTGGTTTTATCTAATTAATGAGTAGCTAGGATTGCATCTTACGGTCTTACAAAATTAGGCCGTCTTACATGAACCTAATCCTATATATATATATATATATATATATATATATATATATATATATATATATATATATATATATATATATATATATATGTATGTATGTATGTATGTATATATATATATATATATATATATAATTTTTTGGAAAAGAAAAAGATTTTTTATTCTTCTCGTAATATTCATATAACAAAAAAAATAATTGTTACGGGGTGTGTGTGTCTATATATATATATATATATATATATATATATATATATATATATATATATATATACACACACACGGAAAGTTAAAAAAAATATTGATTTGACAATTAGAGAAAATTAGGATAGAAACCTAAATTGATCTGTCATACCCTCACAGCTACATAAGAACCGGTGAATGCTACATGTCACCCCCACAGTCTTATAACACTTCAATCTATCTGCCTCCACAGTGAATGTTACGGCCTCCCCACAGTCTTACAACACTCATATCTTTCCATGGCCACCACCTATGGTCTAACTACTCATCTACCGCTCATACCCTCAACGTCTGATTAAATCTTTCAGTCGCTTTCATTTCCTAGCAACTAATGCTATTGGAGATATAGAGTTGGCATCAATAGAGAAGTCATGGTCTCCTTATGGAGTCTGTGGGCCTTTAAAATTATGTCAATTTTGTGTATCATTTGAACAATGACAAATTGTAAACTTATGAAGATTATAATCTTAATGTATGTCGTTTGGTGGCTATGTCCATGTATATTCAATTGTGATGATACAATACAATGAAGTCATCCGCCCCTAAACGTTTCTGTCATCCTCGTTTGAGGGTGTAACACATACCTCCTTCGTTCTAAGTCATTTTTCGACGTTCTTTATATCCATGGAAAGGTAACGAGAAGCTATACACTTTTATCAACTCATCCTCGCCTTAAGACTTCCCGAACATAACCTAAAATTCATAAAGATTCAAATTGCAAAATCACTGATATACCCTTGGGCTCCGAAACACAATCGAACACTTAGATCACTTAATCTATAATACCCTCATCCAAAAAGAGCTAGTATCTCTTCCCCTAACGCCTGAAGCCTTATGATAATTGATGATTCGGGTCATGGCCCCAAATAATGAAGTGATTCATAATCGAGTGTTACAACTCATCCCCGCAATAGTTAGACTCATATGAGAGCTGTACAGTATGGTCGAATCAATTACTTTGAGATTATTTAATCTAAGCTGCAAGTGACTTAACATACTTATCGAATAACATGCGACTCCACCCTTGAGTCCTAAATCACTAATACTGTCTCGAGCTATCTTGATTCCCCTTAGCTGCTTTCCAAAAGCGGCCGAGACCTCCTAGGTCCCATCTTACCTGCCGAATAACCGATTCACTAGATTTCCACCTGGTTACGGAGATAATTAATCTCACACAGTTGCACCATGTGACTTCTGAACAAAGGCCTCATCTGACAACAATTTCCTTAGCTATCTCGTCACTATGGTTCCAACAACCTTTCTGATTCAACCAATTATAATAAGCCGTCAAACTGACATCACCAAATCCAATGCTAAAAGTGAATGGTACATGACCATCTGTAGTTTTATATCACAACCGGCCTCATATGGCCCACCACTTCCTTAATCCCAAAAATGATGTGTCGTTCATGAGCTCACATCCTAACCTACCCTAGTCTAATCCCCACCTGATGAAATCCTCAAGCCAAATCATAGATTTGTCATACCCTCGTAGCTATTCAAGAACCGGTGAATGCTATGGGCCACCCCCAGAGTCTTATAACACTCCAATCTACTGTCGCCCTAGTGAATGCTACGTCCACCCCGCAATCTTACAACACTCATATCTTTCCATGGCCAACGTCTATGGTCTAACCGCTCATATCCTCAACGTTTGATTGAATCTTTCACTTGCTTTCATTTTCCAGCCATTAATGCTAGTGGAGACGAAGTGTTGGCGTAAATATAGAAGTCATGGTCACCCTATGATTGATTGATCATTTGTTCCAACATTGGGTCATGCAGCCAACTATTATGTTCAAACATTTAAGGATTCATTTTAAGGTTTCTTAAAAAAAACCATAAAGAGAATTATTTAAACCTCCACCATCCTTTCAATCCTATAAACTTTGTAATTATAAAAGAAATTCTTTATTTTAATAAAGTTACTATATATTGTTTATAAAATTATTTTAAAATTTTAAAAATCAAATATTTAATTATCTAAAATCATATTATTATTTATTATTGTTTTTATTTATTTATTTTCATATTTCTAATTTATAATTTTTTTAAAAATTTTGACAATGAAGACAAATATGCTTCATTTAATATACTATTATTTTTTTTACGTTTGTTACGTTGATCGGAGGATTAATCGGGTACCATTAATTGCTAATTTGTTGAATTATAAAAAATTAAATATGATTAATATCATATCAAAGTTCGTAAATACCACTAATATGTAACATCCGGGTTTCAGGACTAAGCATATTTGCCAATGTAATAGTCTAGGTCAACTCTTGTAACTCTTTTTGAAGTAATAAAGGCGAAATATTTGAGTATTATGTGAATTATGTGTATTTATGTGCTTATTATTTAATTATAACTGTATAATTAATAAAAGATAAAAATAAGCATCAAAATTAAAGTGTGAGATAAGCCCGATATCTTTATATAAAGTTGAAGTGGTCGAAACAAGGATTTCGAGGATGTAAAGAACGCCGAAATTCGAGTTATAACGAAGAAGTTATGACCCGTTGAAGTTTCGCGACGGAACCGGCACAATACCGGGAAGCGTAAATAGTGTATTTACGATAGAGCGAGATTTATCCTTAGCGATCTAAACGAAAGTCGTAGAATATGTTAAACTAAGAACATCGATAAAAAGAACGCCCAAATCTGACTTCGTATGAAGAAGTTATGATTTTTCGAAGTTTCGGATTAGTAGTGTACAGCTTGAAATTCGAATATTAGATCGAGCGATTTTTAGCCGACACGACCTAAACGAGAATCGAAGATCTCGTTAAAAGTAGCATAACGAGAAAAAGATGGGCGAAAACGGATGTGGGATGAAGAAGTTATGAGAATTTAACGGACCAATCCTGTCCCGGCCTGTTAATAATATAAAATTTAAAATTGATTCAAAATTAGCTGATGGAGTCCAAACGAAAGTTGTAGAGTACATTCCCACCTTGCGTGGATATAAAGAACGTCGAAAACGGAGGTCGTACGCGAAAGTTACAAATTTTTGAAGTTGTAACTCGAATTTGCAAAATTGGTGCAAAGGGGGATGACGTGGCTCGATCATGGCCGTAGTTTGCGGATCACGGTCTGGTCTTAGGATTTGGACACCTGGCCTCGCTACGCCTCGTGTACGAGAGGAACACCCTGTGTCCGAGTACGCCCCGCATCGGAAGAAGGCTACGCCCAGCGGACTTCGGATTGATCGGTTCGAAGGAGTGCCACGATAACCCAGCAGCGAAGCGACGCGTGTAGTACGACCGAGCCACTACGCCCAACGTAGGTCCAAGGTACACCCAGCGTAGCGAGGCCTCGCAGCCTATAAAAGGGGACCAAGGGTAGCTTCATTTCTTGCACCTTTCCACCTTCTTTCTCTCACTACTTTCTCTCTCTAAGTGCTATAAACCCCCCCTAAGCCCTAGATAAAACCCCTAGCTCACGAGGGAAGCCCCTAGGCTCCCGGAGTGCCGAGAAAAAGAGCCTTTTGGTTTCGAAACGCTGCTCCAATTAAGTTCCGGTTTTCGATAAAATTCGATGTAAGTGTGCTACGCTTACACAATTTTTGATATAGCTTTCAAATAATTATAGGAATGTTATTAGGACCTTAAAATAATTATTTAGGCTTTTATTATGAGTTATATTGAGTGTTATTAACGTTTATATAATAATAATAATAGTCAGACTAATTAATTCTCGCGGTTATCGTTAGACTAAACCATAGTGGTATTGGTACTAGGTTTTATCGAAGGAAAATCGTTTTGAGAGTATCGAAGCGCTGTCTGAGTACCGAGTCACCACCTTTCAAGTGAGTGCATAGTTACTTTCAGCTTACACATAGATATGAAGTATTTTATATAAATTATGTACATTGTGTGCATATTACCTGAATACTTGCTATCTAGGCTGGATGAACATTTTTATACATGTTTTCAATGATTTAAACTATATATGTCTTTTATATCTACGAAAATGTTGGGGTAAAACATGGGTAGATGTATTAGTTGCTATGTGACGAAATGAAATAATGAGAGGCCTCGTTATAGATGTTATTGATGATCTAGTCATCTAGCGGAGTATAGATGACGACCACGGACTATTCTAGACAGTACAGTGGAACACTAGCAGGCTCGCAACCTGTAGGTGTTTATTCGAATTGTGTGTTTATTCGAACTGTGTGCTCAACAGATGTACTCCATCCCCCACATGGTTGAAATCTAGCTAATACAAGAAATTTGTTTCGACTTCAAACTTGCAGACTGTTTTAGCTGCAGGCTTGGACACATCGTCTGCAACATTAACATGGGCTTTATGTTTGTTGCTCAACAACCCAAGAGTATTAGAAATTTCCCAAGATGAATTGGATGAGCATGTTGGAAGGAAGAGAGCAGTAGAGGAGTCGGACCTGAAGAACCTTGTTTACCTTGATGCAATTGTTAAAGAAACACTACGTTTATACCCGCCTGGACCTCTAAACCTTCCTCATGAGTCCATGGAGGATTGCATTATTGGTGGCTACAAAATCCCTAAAGGCACACGTTTATTGACTAATCTTTGGAAAATTCAACATGATCCTAATAAATGGTCAGCTCCTGAAGAATTTCAGCCAGAAAGATTCTTGACAAGTCATAAACATGTGGATGTTAGGGGAAACAATTATGAATTGCTTCCTTTCGGTAGTGATAGAAGAGTATGCCCTGCTATTCCCTTTGCTCTTCGTTCTTTGCATATAACTTTAGCTACTTTAATACAACAATTTGTGCTTAAAAACCCATCCAATGAACTCATTGATATGAGTGAAAGCTGGAGTGACTATCAGCAAAGCCATCCCACTTGAGGTCCTTCTAGCACCTCGTTTATCCCTTGATATGTACCCTGTTGTTGCATGATATGTGAGCTTCAAAGAAACTACAAGCTCCAATGCCACCTGACGATAAGCCCGAACCCCAGATCCGTTGATGATTGATTGGAAGATAATCACGAATCGACTACTGACTAGCCTGATCAACAAATTGTTAAGTCCTACTAAGTTTGTTTTCGATCATACTTATTTTTAGATGGTTTCTACTTACTGTTGTTTGTAATCTCTCTGTATATACAGAGAGCCCTCCTTGGTTATAATTCAATTGTCAACAATAAATAATTCTTGGCATGAAAATATTATTTCCATATTTACTTAGTACTATTGTTTACATGAACTTTGTTCAATGCAAAACGTGTGTAACCACTGAAAGAATTCGAGTAACTAAGAATAATATCAGTTTAAAAATAGAATTAAGATATCAAACATAAATATTCACCAACAAGAATAACAACGTGGTAAATTAAAGAGATATGGAGATTTAAGTTGAAACCAAAAACGGAAAACTCAAATAATCAGTTCACTATAATTTGAAGTTTTTATAGGGTTTGATAAAAAAAATTTAGACAAAACTGCAAATTTCGTCCTGTGGTATTCAAAAAACTTTGGATAGGGTCCAAAAAGTTTCTAACTCGCATGAGATGTCCAAAATGAAAGTTTTTCTGAGTTTTTGGTCCATGATACACTTGAAAAGTCAATTTTGCCCTTTTCATTTCTTTTTTTATTTTCTTTATTTATTTTGGTATTTAAATAATTTAGAATAAAAATAAAATCTCTCTCTCTCTCTCTCTCTCTCTCTCTCTCGTATCATCATGATATTTCTTCTATATTCAAAAAAAATTCCTTAAATAACCATTTCAAACAAAGCCAACAATAACAATCTAAAAAAAAAAAAAACAAATCAAAGATATGTATGTGTTTGTCGTTCTATGTCGTCTCAATTTGATTTTCCTCTGTGCATAGTTTTCTTTTCTCTCCTCTCTATTTTACGTTTTCAATCATGCCGGTCTATCTTCCCAGGTGTTTATCTCTCTGTACACCAACTCCTCTCGATTTGATCTTCATGTGTCTCAGTTTCTCTTCCTTGTATGGATGTGTATCAATAAGGGTAGAATATGATGGGATTCCAGAGGGAAAAATAAGTAATCGCACCATCAGGAAAACTAGAATATTGAAATAAAATATAATTATATACATTTATAATAATAGAGTTTTTTTATCAGTTTCTATTTTTTTTTTTTTGGAAAGGAACATCCTTAACGAAAGTTTCGGGCTAGCTTTCGTGCACCGATTAATTCTTTGCTGTAAACATAAGGTTGTGCCTCACGATCTTCATGATTATGGGGCTGAGTAGTGTCAAAATTTGAACATGTATCAATAGGTTATCCAATATATCATTTCTCTCATGTTTGTTTTACAAAATGTTTTTAGAAACAAAAAAAAAGTGAAATGAATTGCAATTGTTTATATGTTTGGTTCAAATAGAATGAAATATGTTTTGTGTTTGATTTGGTTCACATAGAATGAAATATGTTTTTTGTTTTGTTTTGCAAATTTTCAACGTCATTGAAAATTAATTAGTTAATATAACCAAAATGATATTTTATTGATTTTTTTGTAATTTGTTATTATTTTAAAAAATGATAAAACTTCCATTTATTAATTTTCACCCATTCAAACCTACATGGGATTATTCATGTGCGCGAGTGTGTGTAGGTGTAGGTGTAGGGTGGGATGACGTCGGTGTTGGTGTTTTGGCATAAGCCTTTTATCTTAGGTTTGTAAGTGCGAGCATGGGTGTGGTGAGGTTGGTGTCTGGGGGTGTTTGTGCGGGTGTGGCGGTGAGGTCGGTGCGAGATTCTTACAGCGCATTTAACCAAGAAGGTTCAAGAAATAAGTGAATATATAAAATTAATCAAAGAGCTAACTTGCATAAATTTATTGATGTTGCATCTAGAAGGATGAATGTTGTATAGATAGTGAAAGTCATACGCATAAAGCCAAAAAATAGCAAGATTCTTACAATGCATTTGACTATAGCTAATAGAGCTTATATGTTTCCTGAAGAAATACTATTGGTTGAGATGGTAAAGTATTACGATAACGAGTGACAAGAGATGATGGTTTTTACCATGTTTGATCTCTCAATACAAAGTTTAAGTTTTATAGTAAAACTATGTAAATCATTTCATGAATGTCTCCATTTAGATAAACAATTTTTACATCCATCTAATGTAGATATGGGTCAAAACGAACCATAAGTGCACCAACACCAATATGGTTGTAAACGTGAAACATAACCAACATATTAACACCAATATGATTGTAAATTTTCAAGATAACCAACATATATTCTAGTGACCTAAAGTGCACTCCAAAATACGTAGATTAAGGTTGGCTCCACACGTCTGCTTACACTTTACAAAAAATTAACCTACAACACCTTCACATTTTCACCCTCATCTTGATTTTATCATTTTTTTTTACGTACAGGGACCTCCTTGTTTGTATAATATGTGAATACATTAAATTTTGAACTTCCACCTTTTTTTTTGAATGAATGGTTTTAGATAAAGCTCCCCATGTGCGCATGTAGTTGACCTACTCAAGTCCTTAATGAGTATCTTCATATTATCTTCATGAAATTCTGCAAAGTGATAATCATCACTATCAACAACTTCTAACTCTTCATCAACCATGTCATTTCCTGTAGTTGTGATATGATTGTTTAAAATTCCATGTTCATATACATCAACAACAATGTGGAATTCACTCCTGTCTACATCCACATCAAGTTGTACGTTACACCCCTATACATTATAGTCACCATCATCATAATCATCTCCACTATTTTTAAAACAATATATACTCTCAATAAAGAAAGCATGCCCACTCTCACTATAGAAAACATCTCCAAATTTTTGATTTAATCTTACTAAAAACCATAACATCAAATGTCATATAATAAAACCATGAATCGTATGTATCAAAATGCCACAGTAAATGTATCAATTCAAAACTGAATTCAATATCATATCAAAATGTCTGAATAAAACTCCCAGGATAAAACTGCAACTGTGGTGTGTGCCATGCCATAACCCGAGTTTTTCTCCTTGCTAACGGAAGTACCTAAAACTAAAACTGAAACTATGAGCCCAAAGCTTAGTTAGCTCCCCCAAACTACCACATATCATACAATAACACATAAAGCACATACTGGGCCTTGCCCACTGCATCGAACCAAAATCCGGAAACTACATCAGACAAAAGTCTGAAAACTGCATCGGACAGATGTCTGGAAACTGAATCGGACCGCAGTCCAAAACTAACCAGGGCCTTGCCCTCTGCATCGGACTGAAGTCCGGAACTAATCAGGGTCTTGCCCTCTGCATCGGACCAAAGTACGGAAACTGCATCGGACCGAAGTCCAGACCTGACTGAACATAGCATAGCATAAGCATAACATATAGCATAGACACATATATTGCATACTACATCGGACTGTAATCCAGAACACATAACACAAAGACATTCTTGAATCATAAAGACATCAAGCACACTGAACTACTGCATCGGACCGAAGTCCGAAAAATACTTCTAGCTAAACAGATCGGCATTGTGGTCGTAGACCCGTTCCTACTGGAAGGAAAACTCACCTCGTAATGATGGTTGTTCAGATGCTAACTCTAAAACTGGCTGACTGCTGCTTCGAAACTCTCCGGCTACAAATCCCAAAAACACTAGATTAGGTACTGATAACTGCCCTAAAGGTAAAATGACTATTTTACCCCTGGTCAAAGTCAGCTTTCACTTCACCGGACTCACCAAGTCAGGGAGTAGACTCGCTGAGTCCCTCCATCACTAGATCCGAACTCTAACTCACCGAGTCCATTCCTACTCACTGATTCACCCTAAACTCTCAAATCGAGGAAAAATCGGGGACTCGCGACTCGACTCGTCGAGTTTGAAGAACAATTCGCCGAGTCCCAAGCATGCCATTACTATACATTCGATTTTGCTCGATTCCAGTGCATCCAATTCATAGATCAGGGTTCCTAGGACTGATTTCACACGTAAAGTTTCTAACTTTACGTTCATGCATGCTCATAAGAAGCTCAAATTCCCAATAAAGAGCTAAAAGAAGATATTTAGGTTTGGAATGGGTGTTTAGCTCAATAAAGGTGGTAACCTTGAGCTTAAGGAGTCCTGAAATGCTTAGATCTGAAACCCATTCATATTAGCTACACTTAAATCGACCTTAATGTTTAGAAAATGGCTCAAAAAAAACACTAGCAAGCTTTTAAGGAGGTCTACATGATGACAAGCAAAGATTCAAGCTTTATACCTTAATGGAAACTAGAATGACAAATGAAACTCATATCTTCTTTGCTCCTCTAGAAAACCCCTCTTCTATCTTCATCTTCTAACTTCAAAATTCACCAAAATCCTTCACAAAATGAGAAATACTCCAGGAATGCTTAAAGGAAGGCTAGGGTTTGGTAAGGGACGTTCAAAGGGTGATGGAGGCTGGTTTGGGGTGCATAAAGTTGCTTAAATAGGGTGCAAACCCTTGAAATTAGGGTTTCATCCAGACTGGCAGACTCGCCGAGTAGCCCACTTAAATCGGGTGCAAATCCCGTCTTTACTCGACAAGTTGGGCTGCTGACTCATCAAGTACCCCCTTAAGAAATGAAAATTACTTTATTTAAATCACATACCAGAAATGGGGCGTTACAATTTGAGCTTATAATGTTGAATATCACATGTTGATACACCATAAACTCGAGATTTACAAGTCTCATGTTTAATAGACTAAATTTATCCTTTGGATAATCGCATGCTTATTAGTTATGTGTTGAAATACTTATGTAAAAATGTATTTATCATATGTAGCTTCATAAAAATCATGATGCACATGTTCATTAACACATTTGTTATACAAAAATTCGTGGACATGGGTTTGGTCACTCAAAATT